CCGCGCCTGCCGGCTCCCCGCTTGCTGGTGCTGAGCACAGGTCCCGCTCAGCACGCACTTTCTCTCTTTGCTCTTGTGTACACCCGTTGATGAGCGTGGCTGCACAGCTAATGAGGGATGCTTCTGGTGCTGCTTGCTCAGTCTAGGAAACAGCCTCTGTATGCACTTTATACAATATATAGATACCTATATATCATATAGTTAGGCCAAATATTGCCGCCTCAGTGTGCAGGAATCATGAGCCCATATCATGTGACTGCGGTGCACTGTGATCTTTCAAAGACTTTCCTGCAGGCCCAGCGAAAGCTGGAAGCATCACACACCGCCTCCGGGCTGCGGGGTGACCCCACTCGCTTCTGCAAGAAGGTTGTTCTACCAAGCGCTGTCGCTGTGCACGTTCCAGCCCTGCCACAGCGGTACCAATACATTTTGCACGTTCTCTGCTGTTATTTGTGCATGGACTGTGGAAAAGGATTTGTGCTTAATAATACATAGGAAGAATCATACTACTCGTATTACTGCCTTTGTCCCCTTCGTTCCCCTCCCTTTCCCCTTCCCCTGCCTGAAACGTGATGCTCTTACTAGTTCATGCCCTGCTTGCCCCCACCAGTCCCGACTTCTATTGCCTTCAGCCCTTTCTTTTCTCCTTCATGTATTCTGCACTTTTTAGCCTGTCTTACTCTCTCCTCTCTGCTAAACCTATGCCCAACGTTTATATGCACCCACAGTTCAAATTAGTTTCTGACATTTGCTGTTCCTGAGGGGTTTTCTTTAGCAAGGTATCTTCTTTTCGTTTGATGTGAAGGTAATTTTCTGATGGGGTAACAGTTTTGTTTTCAGACTGGTGTCTCGATCTCCTCGTCCCCCCACCTCCAAAATGTTGTAAATAAAGTTTCTTTATTGTTGTGACCACAACTCGTGTGGTGGTAATTACTATTTTTAAATGAAGCTATAAATCATTAAACCTGTGGCTGTTGTTTTGGGGTTTTTTTGCAAGAATAGTCAGAAGGAAGGCTATTGAGTTACGATTATTTTAATGGTGAGAACTGAATGGCTCCACAGCAGCAAGGCCAAAGAGATTTTGGTGTGTGGAAGAAGAAATCTTAGATGCACTGTATTTTTTCAGGGCTTCATTGTGCTTCATACAAAGCAGCAGAGAACACTGTATCTTCAAATCAGCTTCTGCTGAAAAACTGGATTCAAAATAAATAAGTTTTATTCATAACTGTAATAGAACTGTTGCTATATTCATTTGTTTAAACCTAAAAATCTGCTAACGTACTATTTCTCAGTGTGCTGCTTCTAGCAACCTGAATATCCAGCGCCTTTTAAAAATGTTTATTAATCTTTTGGCAGTATTTTTCTCTCTACATAGATACCATAGTTCAGGTGAATACACGATTGTGTTTGGGAGATGTGTTAGAGATAAGTCACTTGCAGGGAAAAAATCATTTATAGTTTTTGTGTTTAAAAATGAAATTTGTAGGACGCATAAGATGTCATTCTTTTATGGTAAATGACTTACAAGGATACCTTAGAAGCAAAGGTAAATGAGTGCTGATTTTAAGTTTGTACTTTCTGAAACACAAAAGGATGCGGCACACACTGTCCTGGTGAATGACGTGTGATAGATTATAGCGAGAGCAGTCTGAGCAAATGAAATTGTAATGGAGTTCTGGCTGCAGGAAATAGCTGTTATTTATCCTATTTCCTAAGATGCTGCATACATACTGCTGTTTATTATATACTTAAAAATCCCTTGGCAAGTCAATAATGAATAAATGAACTTAAAGGGTATTACAACACCCTGCACATAAGGAGCATAAGCCAGGATATTTTTCAGTGTACTCTTTCCGGGGTTGGCTGAGGCGTTTCTGCAGAGATGCTAACCTGGATACTTCAAATGAACAGTTTTGATTCTTTCTCCCGGCAGGTGTACGAGGCAGTCCCATGCTACACCGAGTGCAATCAGTATTCTTGGGTAGTAGAACCATGGTCTCCGTGCAAAATCAACAGCGAACAAAATTCCCTCCACTGTGGAGAAGGAATACAAACGAGGAAAGTCAGGTGCGTAAAGACAAAAGCACAGGTACTCCAGATTTAAAAGAGCTGTATTAAAAATACTTGCATAAAGCTGAAACATCTGGCCACCTGACAGTGAGTACGCTGCTGAGTCCACTGTATTTCAAATGAAAAGAAACATGCGTTTATGTGCAATGGTTTACAGGAAAAGCATCTCAGAGGTGCAGCCTTGTGTTATGATCGAGATGTCTTTCAGGAAGATGGCATGATGTTTAAATTAGAATTCTTCAACCTAAATGCCATATATACATAAAGCCCCCTGAGGTGCAAAGCCTCCATATTCTGATTTGCTAACATTTTCCCCAAGTAATGGCATTGAACGCGCCAGAGTGGTGTTCATTATTAGTGAGTATTCGTTCCCTAGGCACAGGGAAATGCTGAATTATTTCCAAATGTTGGGATGTTACTAGCAGGTTACAAAGGTTTGTTCTTGCTGGTTGTCATTTTCTGTTCACTCATCTGTCAGCCGATCAAAGTTAAAATCCCTCTGTATGAAGTTTGAAATGTTTATTTAAAGTAGTTATTGAAATCTGAGAGTAACAAAAGCATGTTGTGCCTGTAGCTGGTTTCGATTTGCATTAACAAATTAATTCTGCATTTTGACCAGCCGTGCTGCATATAGCTATTGTGTTATGTATAGTGTCCTATATAGGGTCGAGCAGACCTGTTGATGTCCATCCCTTCTGTAGTATGTTGATGATTCTCTAATGAAAATGTTTTCTGTATAGGTGTGTGAGTACTGCTGAGGACAATGGAGGGGAGACTGTGTCCAATGCACTGTGTAATCAGGCTGAAATCCCAGACAGAACGCAGAAGTGTAGCTTGTACTGCCCCCGCGAGTGTGCAGTGTCGGACTGGGGACAGTGGAGCGAATGTCCACAGGTAGGCTCTCCTGCTTGTGTCTCTGTTGCAGTGTTCCTCACGCGTCAGTCTTCTCTGTCCTTCAGCTGTTTCATGAGATCGTTATTTTCTAACAAAGTAAATTATTTTCTGAGGGAAGTTAGGCTTAATGGATCCTGCCAGCATGGTTGAATCTGGAGATTTTTATATTTCTACAGAGCCTGAGCTGTAAAAAATTAGTAAAGCACATAGTCATAACTGTGACAAATGATTCCACTCATCTTTCCATTTGGTCTACAGGAGAGGAGCCACACAAGTACAGTGGGTGAAGGGACCAGTATTCTAGCAGCAGTAAGGGCTGGCCGTGTTAGGAAATATTTGCAGGGGAGAGCTCTGTGAGGGATGTACGACTACCATCACAACCTGCTGGTAAATGGTGGTGGTGGCACTCCTCTGAACAGGTCTTAGGCCCGAGGGAACCACAACTCTCGCTTCCCAGCAGACACTTTTTCTGTCCAGTATCTCCTCCTCAAAAAAAAATTGAGGGAAGATTTGAGGCAACAGCAACAGAAGGGCATGGCAGCACGATGCCTGAATAATTTGTCATGTCACAAAAATACTCAAAACTTTGTGAATTATGCGGGGGTTCAAGCCACCGCCAACTGCTCTGTGTTTTCCTAAGTGTGCAAGATGGAAAGAAGCTGCAAATTCTGTCCTGCGAAAACTCTCTGACCTCAAAGCATGTAATTTCAAACCCATTGTTTCTCTCTGTTGTAATAGATGCCAGGTTTAATCTCAGGGGGTTTGTAATGGACTTGCATGATGTATTTAAGTGACAAACATACATTCATTGCCCCTGTGTTAACAGGGCCATTATCAAAACTCTGAGTGATTATTGGACAGGTATTTGTACTACTGCTGACACAGGTAATTTCCTTCCATAATATTTTGTGTAGCGTATCAATATACTCGGTAAGAACATGTCAAATAAAATCTTGTGTTTCATTTCCTGCATTTGCTTCCTCCTGAGCCAGCATAGCTTTGATGAAGTATACCACTCTTGCAACCGATACAGATGCTTGGATACCTTTCAAAGTCCCACTGTGGTTGGGCTGTTTCTTTGCCATTGACTTTTTTTTTTTTGAGAGATTTTCTTCATTTTAGCATGCAGTAAGCAGAGATCCTCGAGGCTATAGGGTATTTTTCAGGTGTCTTGGTGGCAGTCAGTTGGTCGTGAAGGGCTGCTTGAAGCTTTAAGCACCCTAGTATCCTTAAGGCACCCTGACTTTTGGCCTGAAGACTCCTTTTCAGCAGTGACAAAGCCTCTGCAGCCCAGAGAAGCAGGAAAGGGATCCCCAGAGCTCGTGGGCTGCACTCCATCAGACAGCATAGCTCTTGGCAGCCCCAGGGCTGAGTGCCACAGTCCCTGTGTTTCCTTGTACATCCTTTTGCCACGATAGATGTTAATTCATAAATGTGAGGGCATCTGCATGCCAACGCAATTAACTGAACAATATGTTTTCACAAGCTGTTCTGCAATGCTTTGTTGTGAAACTGAGATGACTGTGTACGGATGGAGCATGTGTTTAAATACTTCTGTCCAGATACGAGGCAATAAACATCTTGAGGTTTGATGGACAGATAAAACCCTCCCTTTGAAGAGTTTACAGCAGTGCTGTCTCCCTTTTATAGTCACTCAGGCTATTTGTGTTCCTTTGGTTTGGAGAAAGCACCACACAGCACAGTTCCTCCCAGCCTGCACACACTTAACATCTCCAAAGCAAGTGGTAGGCTTGCTGTAACTGGAGAATGGCTGTACCACAACGGTGGTGTATCTGCAGTATGTGTGGGCATACCAGTGTGATGGGGCAGGGATCGAGGGAAACATGGTGACCAGGAGTGAGGCATTGCCAGCACCAGGGTGATTACTGCAACCCTCCATCTCCTGAGTCATCACTAGGAAAAGTGGTCACTGAGAGTGGCCACAAGCTGGTGGACATGGTCAGTGGAGTTACAAAGGCAATGGAGCCTACGGAGGATCCCATTTAGTCTTTAAGGGAGGAGCTATGTGTGGTCATTTGAGTAGCTCCATTCAACTGGAGTGAAAGTGAGAGCCTGGGTCTGGACCTTGCATGGAGACCCTACATCTAGACATCCAAATATAGGAGTCTGCATCTGGAGCTGAATCTAGTTAAGTCTTTTGGTCAGACCTGCTGTGCCTCCAGCCTGCTTGAAATGTCTTCCGACAGAGCCCAGAAAACATATCAGTAAGTTTTCCTGCCTAGAACCTCTTGCTCGTTAGGACTGTCTATTTAGTTGTGTTTGTGGGAATTTTGCTCAATAGCTGATATACTCATGCATGGTTTCTGATTCATGCCAAACTTGAAGTAAATGCCTGTCTTCCGAGGATGTATAAAATGCTTTTTGAATATTCACCGAAAATCCATTTTCTAAGTATGGCTCCTTCCTCTTCCCCAAAGAATCTGAAAAATTTGAGGGATCACATCATATTGAAAGGAAAAAGCAAAACTGTACATCCTGGCTGCTCTTTTTCAAGCACATTTACAAACATATCAAAATAGTTGGCACTCTTTTAGTCGTAGCACTCTTGTGAGGCAGCTGCCAAAGAGCATTCTGGGAAATCTTCCCATATCTCTGGTCATGTTTGGCTTGCTGGAGATAAAGAGGATTTATGAGACTTGACAAATTCTAGTTTGTAAGAAATGAGCAACCACAATTTCAGCCTCATCTTTGCCTGAGTAGCTCTTTGATTTGAGATATTTACCTAGGATTTTGGTCAGGTGAGAATTCTTCTCCAGTTACTTTGGTGTTCTGCTCATATTTTATTGTATTGATAATAAATTTATCCTGATAGAGGAATAACTAACTCTTCTCAGCTGAATATAAAAAGGCCTTTTAGAATATCCAGTTTACCTTTTGTCGATATGTCATTGTACTCTGGATACTTTCTTGGGTATTAGTTGGTTTTATCTTGTAGCAGTACTCTTCCCATGTGAATTTTCCACTTTCAGGATGGTAAATGATCTTGAATCATGTTGAAATCAATGAGTCACAAAGGTGGCAACTGCTTTGTCAATAGGAAGTATTTTCTTCAATACTTCTTTCTGCTAAAACATTGTATTTGCTCTACCCTTTTTGGGTGCATTTCCCTTTTGCTTTTAAATATTTGTGTTTCTAGGGTGGTCTTTTGTAATTTCAGATGCTCCCACAATTCTTTTATGTGTATTTTCCAACTGAATTGTGATTTTTGCATCTCGATTATAGTGCTCTTTAACACTGGTACACAAAGCTAAATTTTAATATTCCCTCTAATGGCACTTTGCCGTGACCCAGAAATGCAGCTGTCTGAAATGTAATACCTCAAGGTTACTTTTGAGGTTTTGTCTCTTTACTGGATTCAAGAAACTCAAAATTACTGATTTAAAGCTTCCCTATTATTCTCACATTCTCTACTGTGAGAAGTAAGTTCAAAATGGTTTTCCCTCTGATTGAAGACTATTTTTTGGCTCATAAAGTTTTCTTCTTTGTCACTAAGTAACATCCACATAACTTAAATATCAAGGCTTTAAAGCCATTTAAAATAACAGTTTGAAGCTTGCTAGTCAGAAAAAAATAATAATCATGAGCAAATTAGATCGACTTGCATTTTGCTTCAGAGATTTCGTATTCGTTGCAGCTACAATAGCGTGTTCAGTCAGACATCATCACTTGATTGCTCAAAGACCCAGCTAAACAATCTGGAAACCCAAATCCTATCATCTCTGTTACATATTCAGCGATCGAATAACATGCACTACCTGCGGTGTCTCGACTTTGTATTCATCTGACTTGGAAATGTAATTAATTGACTTCAATTGAATTCATCAAAGCATTCGTACAAAGAGTTAATATGTGAGTTGTGCTACAAGTCCCTGAAATAATTACCTCAAATTTATTTTGTTAGCTCTCTGCTGCCATGTGGATAGCTGTCGCAGCCCCCACAGCCGATCGGAGTGGCCTCCTTGTTTGCCTCAGCTGTTGGCATTTCTAGCAGCTAATTCTGAGAGGTTTGAAATTAGTTAATTATAGGAGGTTACATGTCTAGTGAGTGTGAACAGCTGTCCTTGTTTCAGCGAGCCTTTTTCCTCGTGGATCAATAGCGATGCACAAGGCTCAGGATTTGTGACAATTGAATTATTTTTCTCTTAAATCTCATGGGGGGGTTCATGTAATATTGCAATAACTGATGGTATTAAATGAGGCACCAGGCAATACGGCTGACTCTCAGGTTTGGCAGTGACTTTCATCGTAGATGCAAGTCGGAGTTGTTGTGGTTTGGAAATGCCAACTGGAAGAGAAATCGTGGACTCTTGTAGGCTCTGGAGCTCTCTGTGTGCATTACTGAAGTCTTCATCGCGACTGGTGCCTTTATACGTGGGTTTGGCAGAGGACCTGCAGTGTGGAGGCTGGACGGAAGAAGGAAGCTTGCACAGAGTTATATTTCTAGCCCAAGAGATAGTTCATTCAGGTCAAGCATGAGAATTTTGCTGGTCCAAGGCTTTTCTGGAAGAACGTGCACTGCTCCTTATGCATAACTGTGACTTGATTTTTTTTTTTTTTGTATGGCTTTATCAAAAAGTTGGTAACAGCTGCATTTTTTAGATTCATTGTTTTATTTTTATTCATCTTTATTAACATTTTTTTAAAAAGAAATGGCTATATATGGGTGCAGATAAGGTTTCAGAAGCTAGATGCATCTCAGAAGGAAAATTTATGCAAATGCATTTTCATTTCAAAAGACTGCTCATGTTATTGTAAATGGCTTGTTAAATTGTTACAAAACATCCACATCGGCACGAACAATATAACGGTTCATTGCACTGTTAAAAATAGTCAAATCCTATTGCTGCCAACGCATTTACCTTAGTTTGAGGTTGTATGTTTCCTTATGAATAGCCAGTTAAAGATAATGTGGCCAGCTATTTATAGTGTAGTATGCATTATACAAGCTGTTTGCTAAATTAAACAGCTTAAAGGGCTCT